CATGTGCTTCAATTTCCGGTGACAAATTCTTCTTGACAAATTGGCGCTGTTGTTTTGACACATGATGTCACTGATTGCACCAAACATTTCTATTGTTTTTTTTTTAAATAAATAATCAACATTTTAATAATGACCCACTTAAACTGTAAAACTGATTTGCAATTTAGTTATGCTGTTTAATTATATTTTTGTGTTTTTAATTAAATTGCCCACAACTGTACTTTTAGGAGCAGAGATTTTTTAAGGGTAGAAGCAGAAATGCTTACTTGAAGGAGCAGCTCTTAAGTGATTTTAGGAAGCTCGTAAATGGCTGTTGTGTTCAAAATTATTGTTTATATACCGTAATTATTTTCAGTTTACATATCCAAAATAGATTTTATTTGTTCAAGGCAGTCTAATTTGTTCATAACTTTATGTAAACCTGAGAGTTACTGGAACCAAGCAAACAGTTACCAGAACACACCCTGTCAAAATAAGAGAGATCCCAAATCCTGTTCTGCTAGGATCCGGCTCAAATTAAGCCCTGGTCTCACTATAAGCAAGTTCTGTACAAATTTCCACCCAGAGGAGGAAGACATAAAACAGCTAGCAGTAGCTACTAGTTCCCATTGCAACTAAGGAGCAGTGGGCAAGCATTGGTGGCACAAAGGTTAGAGGTTAGATATCTTGGTGGTCAGTGCTGTAGTCTTGTAATCCTGAGGCTGTTATTTTGAGCCCAGATTGCATCAGAAAAGGCATTCAGCATCAAATAATTGCCAAATTATTCAAGCAAGTTTGCTCACTGTGGCATCTTCTGCAAAACAGAGCAGCCGAAAGAAAAACAACATTTAAGTCTGCAATAAGTCGGTAAAAAACAGGGCTTGTGGGATTTGCTTTGTACTTTGAAGACACAATAGAATATGATCCTCCTATGTAAAAATACTAAGATCATTTCCAAAGTCTAAAGCAAGACTAAAAACAAAGTCATATAAATACAAAAGAAAGCATGCATTTGTAAGTAGCTACATAATAAATACATAATTGACATCCGTTCCTACAGAACCGTAGGTCATGTTACTCAGCATCTTAACCCCTTGATTTTCTTTGTTCATTTCTCTAAGTCTTGTTTTAATGAAAATTGCTTTATGACGCAGTGTCGAGCAACATACTTTGTTTCTTTTAGGTTTGGAAGATTCTATGGTCATGACTTTGTTTGAAGTGTGATTATGTCTGCACTGAGATGCATCAATAATTGTTTGACAATCACTGAATCATCAAATCGAATCGTGAGGCGGCTGAAAAGCCTCGCCCCTACTTTATTGTGATTATGTGAACACAATTAAATAATATGATGCAATCTGATCAGTGTAACAACTTCTTATGTTGTTTGAAAGTCTCTAGAGTCTATTGTATGAAGCAGGCGTAAAGACAAGCCTGGATCTGGTCGCCTGTGCAGAGCGGTCTACCTCACAGGCCTCTGGTGGGGAAACAAAGCTTGAAAGGCTTTATTTCATGTACTGATGATGTCCTATTCACTAAACTACATCACATAATTGTTGGTTATGTATTTGAGGAGCTGGATAAGTATATTTAGAACATAGTAATTGAATAGTAATGATTTGTTTTTTTGTTTCTTTTGCGCTGTACTCTGGATTACAAGATGTCCTCATTGCGGATGATAATGAGCACAAAGTGGAAAGGCTCTTACTGCCTTCCAATCATAGACAATCATTGGCTGAGACACACATGCACACACGTGCAGGTGAACATTAGTTACATTAGCATGGGGAATTTGCAGATGGTTCTCATTATGGTCTGCTGCCTGTCAATGCCACCTAACTTAGCTGCGGAAAGAAAAGCTTTGCAGAGAGTGGTGAAGGCTGCACAGAAATCTGTTGGAGTCAGTCTCCCCACCATCACAGACATCTACACCTCCAGATGCAGGAAGAGGGCCACCTGCATCATGAAGGACCCCACCCACCCAGCACACACACTTTTTGCCCCACTCCCCTCAGGAAGGAGGTTAAGGAGCATTAAGTGTAGAACCACTAGACTGAGGAACAGCTTCTACCCTGAGGCTGTTAGACTCATGAATCTCTAACTAGAATAATCACTGTGAAAAACCATATCATGTTGCTGCTGATCTGTTTCATGTTGCTGCTGATCTGTTTCAATGTTGATGTGTTCATGCGTGCACATCTGCTCACAGACTCATGTTCATGTTTGTGCTGATGTTCAATGTTTTATGTTATGAGTGCTTAGTGTATATTTAGTTGATGTTTTTCTTAGTTCATATCTTAGATGTTATTACTGTTTTTCTTTTACATTTTATTGTTGGATGTAACTGGGACCCCGTGTACATAATTTCGCTCCACCACATGTACCACATGAGGTGCGAATGACAATAAAGAAACTCTGACTCTCTGACTCTGACTCTAACACCAGTAAAAAAATTAGTTCTGGTCAGCTTCATTCCTTTTAACACCCCACCCTTCAGTGATTTCACAGATGCGGTTACAAAAAAAAACTTTTTTTTCTTATTTTACACGTGATCCTTGGGCAGCTTTTTTCTCCGTTCATGTTCATCAGTTTTCTACAAATGCTGTAAGTCTTCTAAGTAAATGCTAATCTATCACCCATCATTAAAAACATATACAGTAGGTATGAGCTCATATGCTTCTGTGTTTAACTCCAGTTAAGTCCTTTCTCTCTCACTGCCGTTTAACAACCCACAGCTTTTTAAAGGATCATGCTGGCTTTGGCAAATCCAATCAGCACTGAGGTTGGACAGACATTAGAAAACAAGACTCTTCTCTCTCAGATGACTCACAAGGTCTTATGTAACATATAGCTACTTACAACCATAGCTAATTCCTTCTTGAAGCAGCTTTAGTCCTGCCAGCTTCAAAGTTTAGAAGCTCCAATTAATCTGCTGCAAAAACACTGCACTGGATGTTTAAATGGAGGTACAGAAAGTCATTTAAATAACATGGGGGAGTGGTATAAAGAATTGTTTAAAGGAAGTTATGAAAAAAAATGTATGCATCATTTTTATTAGGCGTAGGTGTCATAAACTTTTGTTTCTTTGTGTTTTGTTCTGATAAAATTGATGTATTTTTGTTGTGGATTTTGTTTGCCATTTCCCTGTTCCTTGTGCTTTTATTTGAGATTTTTTGTGTTTAGTTTCTCACTGTCCTTCACCTCTGTCTCTGCTCTCTCCACTCACCTGTTCGTTGTAATGAAGGGCGGAAATCCCACCTCATTATTGAGGGTGGGGGTCGGTCAGTAAAGAGGACATTTTTAAGGAGCAATTTTTTTGTGAGGGTCTCTTAAGATAAAAAGATGTCAAATGAAATGAAAGTTAAACATTCATTACCGTGTTCACCGGATGGACAAGTTGCAGAAACAAAAAGGAGCACTGGCTGAAGATCTGTCTTCACCCACCGCCACACATTTTGCTTGTTTGTTTGTTTTGAAGGCGCCTAATTCAATATCCTGGTCACATGGTCATGTGACTTACAACAAAAGCTTATTTTTCTTTTTAGCAAAAGATTTTTTTCAAATGCTTTATTAGTGTGTGTGTGTGTGTGTGTGTGTGTGTGGGGGGGGGGGTCCATTTTAGTTTTCCCAAAATTGAGACCTGACTGTACAGGATTTCTGCCCAAGCTTGTAATTTATTAGTCTCACCTGCAGCCACATTCCCATCAGGTTCTGTCTCCTCAGGCTCCTAAGTTTCATTAGATCTTCAACAGGTCCAGTGTTTCCCCTAGTTTACTCTCCTTGGCAGGGCGCTAATATTTTCTGGGATTTTTGTCGATGGGGGAGGAAGAGACACGTCTGTGCTGCGCTCTGTTTGTACCGACAGTTGACAGTCCTACCCCTCCATGGTCATAGCTTCTTAGCTAGTGTGTCTGTATTGTGTGCTGCTACATCCCTGCGGGCAGTTGTCGACGGGGTGGGATGGGGGGTCAGTAGGCAGTGCACTCGGGTCTGTTGACAGGGCGGGGCACCCTGCTTGTATAATGGTAGGGAAAACACTGAGGTTAATGTGTGGTGTGTTCCCCTGTCAGGTCTCCTCCATGTCCCTCGTGTTTTCAGTTACTTTGCATTTTTCTGTTACAACAGTCTTTTTGTTTTTATTAAACCATTCGTTTGTTCTTAGCTCCTCGTGTCAGTCTGCATTTTGGATCCCACCCTCCACCAAACTTGATAGCAGATCTTAGGAGTGTTTCTCAATACAGGAGTCCCTCATTTATCATGGGGGATCTGTAACCTGAAGCCCTGCAATATGTGAAAACTCGCAAAGTAGGAATAGTAGTACAAGTAGTAAGTAGTAGTTTATTTTAGTATTTAAATTATATATATATATATATATATATATATATACAGTATATTTGTGCTTTAGATATACAGTATATATAAAGTGTTTTAAACCCTTCCCAAACTTGCAATGTTCTTAACAGCGTTTTTAAACTCTAAACACTCCCAAGAGCACAGAATGTCATGATTTCAGCTCCCTGCCTTGGCTGCACTCGGCACGTTCGGCCACGCCCACTTCTACGCTGCAGAGCGGAGATCCTGACACAGGAGGAAGCTTCTCCTTCAGCTGTCGGCTGCACAGCGGTGCAGGAGGTGCTAAGTAATTTAAAATAATTTATTTTAAATAAAAAATCCATGCCGATCGTGCGGCTTATCCATCAATCAGTCATTTGTGTGTCATGTCCAATTTTATTTTGAAAAACCGTGATAGAACAAGTCTGCGGAGAACAAACAGCGAAGTAGCGAGGGACTACTCTAGTTTATTTATCTATGAGCTTTTTCTTAAACTAGTAACAGCTCATTTGCATGTTTAGCTTTTTTTTTTAAACTTACTCTTTCATTTGCAATCATCTCATCTTTCTAGGTATTTTAGAATAGTTGTAGAATACTATATTTTACCACAACGTGTAGCAACACAGCATCTTATTCAGCGCTGCATAGTTGATGTTTTTACATGTGTCAGGTGCAGTGTTGAGTGTTACCTTCACAGGAAAGGCCATGAGACGTGACTCCAGACAAGCTATCTTTACAGACGTTGCAGAAGGTGGGCCGTGCATGGGAGCAGGCATACCAGTTGTGCATCCCTGAGAAATGCTCCACATTAAACTGTGCTGTCTGAAAAAAAAGTAAAACAGGTTGGGAGCTCTGGATTAACAGTCACAGAAAGACAAACAGTGCATAAAGTTTTAACAAGCAACTTATTTTGTTCCTCCTCACACTGACACTTGGTCAAGAGATCATGTTCACCACATCATAGTGAGGCTGCCCCGTAACGATCTCTAATAACAGCTCAGCAGCCACATATTCATAGTTGTTTCAGTAGAAATATTAGAAAATACATTTTACAATGCTTGTTTATTAACAACTAATGCAAATTATGTAAGAAGATATGTCGGGGATGAATCGGAGAAGTGTTCAAGTCCAACTTTGACCAACTGTTGTTTATTTCTTTTTAGTCCTCATTGAGACATCTAATGACTCTGAGATATAAACAACTTTGTTGCACATTAAAAGTACTTGGAAAACAAAGGGAAGACATTTCAAAATTCACAATGAAATGTATCTCAATGCAGGAAACATAAATGTTTTCCACTTAGCCCAATCAACTTTAGACAAGACTACTACCAGCTTAGGAATCCTTGAACTTCCAAAAGTGACATTTTGAGGTAAAAGCTAATGCAGACAGTTCTTTGACCAAGATTCAAATAGGATACGGTAGGAGTGACAATGAGCTTTTAAAAATATAAATACATCCTTTGATGCATGTTACTTTTACTGTCTATAAAATCGATGGAACAGAATAGCAGTTCGAACAAAGGATCAATCAATCAACCTTTATTTAGACAGGTAAATCCCATTGAGCCTCGAGGACTCATTTACAAGAGAGACCTGATTTCAACAAAGAAAGATGACAACAATGGACAACAGCAACAACAATAAACAGTTATAAAAAGTCATACTGCAGGGTTTTTTTTGTTGTTGTTGTTTTTTTAACAAATAGGATGGCTAAAAGGAAAAGGTAACAAAACAAAACAAAAACAAACAAAAAAAACAGCTAGATTCCAAGATTCCAAGATTCTCTTATCTTATCTCTTATCTGAGGATACATCTTTTCCAGAATTAATCATGCTTTCCTTTCCTTTATGTTATTCTTTTAGGAGCTTAATGATAACCAAAACAGTGAAACTTCCTGGTAAAATAAAAGGAGAAACTCTCCACATGTATGATTCTACAGCTGCATGGTTCTAGAAAAGCTACTGAGCACTGTAGACCAAATCCATTGGGGCCTTCAAGTTATTCAATGAATATCCACTATGAACGCAAGAGTATGAATTTATTTTCATCCATCATCTTTACCCACTTCTTCCTTTTTGGGTTGTGGGGGTCGCTGGTGCCCATACCCAGCCATAACTGTGTGAGAGGCGGGGTACACCCATGACAGGTCTCCAGTCCATCACAGGGACACATAGAGGCAAACAACCATTCACACTCTCACCTACGGACAATTGAGAGTTACCAATCAGTCTAACATGCATGTTTTTGGTCTGTGGGAGGAAACTGGAGCACCCGGAGAAAACCCATGCATGCACAGAGAGAACATGCAAACTCCACCCAGAAAGGCCCCCAGACCGGGATTTGAAGCAGGGTAACCTGCTCGCTGAGAGGTAGCAGCTCTACCAGTTGCGCCACCGTGCTGCCCCTGAATTTATTTCCATTATATATATATATATATATATATATGTGTGTGTGTGTGTGTGTGTGTGTGTGTCTGTGTGTGTGTGTGTGGGTGTGTGTGTGTGTGTGTGTTGCATTAGTTGTTGCAGCTCCAACCTCTGTTTGTGTTTTGTAATTACAACATTATAGACAGTCAAATACTGCAGCACAGAAGATAGTACATAAAATTAAAATTGTATTTTTGTGCACATGTGTGCTCCCTGTGGTGTGCACGCTCTGGGGTTGCTGCTGCGTTGCACTGCAGTGCAGTGAGGAGGTGAGGGATGGGGTCTTATATAAGATTTCCACTCACAAATCAGAGCTGCTTTTTGCTTCATGCTCTTCTTCCTTGCCACTGAGCTTGCCACGACCTGTCACTGTCAACACTCAGCCCAGAGCTTTACATCTCTGTCGACATCACAATATTCCAAAACGTCACAGAAGGAAAACTGCTGGGTTTTATGAATTACATTTAGGAACTAACAGTTGTTTTGCTTGGAATAATGTGAAACACTATTCAGTTAAGAATCTGTGAGAGATGACACTACTTTATATACCTTATTTTCTATGATATCCCCACACTGGTGATCATGCAGTTTATAGGTCGAAGTTTGTGCTTTGAAGTTTTGCACTTTAATATCTAAACTTATTGAAAATGTTGTGCAGCAATATTTATTCAACAATACGATGTTCCTAAAAGCAGCATCCCACAGTCAGAGGACACTCCAAATCTCAGATCTATTGTTGCTGCTACACTTTCTCAGAAAATTCCCTGTCTCCCTCTGCCTATTCTTCATCTCAGCTCTCGTTCAAGGGCAAACACTCGTTTACAAATCATCGCACACATGTGTCTGTGTGTTGGTTAGGTGGATGTCTCTTACCTCGTAATGCTCTCTGGACTGGACAGACTTGAGCGAACTGATCCAGTCCTCCATCTCTTTCCTGTTCTCAGCACAGAGGATGAGCCTACGGAATGGAGTGATCACCTGGAAGGAGAGGCAGAGGCATGCTGAGAAAGTAAAGATGACAGAATCAAGAGGAACACCTTCCCATCGCTCCCCTCTTCCAGCCCAGCTGTGAGCTGAAAGAGCGATCAGCTCAGTCTTTAAGGCGGAGAAAGGATGAAAAGCCCCCATGCCCCCTCCCCTCCTTTGTCTTCAACTCTCATTAACTCTTGCTTGCTCACACCTTCTTTAGTAGGATGTTTCCTTCACTTTAGCATCCTTCTTCCAACCGTTTTCTTTTTCTCTCTCTGTCCCTTCTTCAATGCTGCTTTGAGGCAAAGACCAAAACCTTCTTTCCATCTTTGCATTTGTATGCTTTAAGGACAGTCCCTGTAGATAACTCTACAAACATGTAACCTCCTTTCAACACTCCATCACTTATTTATACGCCCTCATCTCTTCTTTCCAGCTCACGTTATCCCTGTTTACCGTAGTGAGAGCAGTGAGGCTGAACAGAGGCATTACCCACAAACACAAAAACACACAAAGGCACTATCACACAAATAAATGATAAATAGCTCCAAGGACTGAGAACAGTCTTGTAACGTATGTGACAAACAGAAATGTCGTAATTGGGGGGTAAAAAAAGAGACATTTAAAGGGTTGGGCTACATACCGAACCAGAACCGCTTTCCTCCACCTGCGTAAACCACTAAGATTAGAAACATCTTGTCCAAAAAATGATGCAGAAAAACTGGTCCATGCATTTGTCACGTCTAGACTGGACTATTGCAATGGTTTGTTATCTGGATGTCCAAATACTTCTTTAAAATGTCTTCAGTTGATCCAAAATGCTGCTGTCAAACTTTTAATGAGAGTTGGTAGGAGAGATCATATCTCTCCAGTTTTAGCTTCTCTCCATTGACTCCCTGTCAAATCCAGAATAGAATTGAAAATCCTACTTCAAACCTACAAAACTCTTAACAAACTAGATCCATCTTATATTCGAGATCTTATTGTTCCATATTTTCCTAAAAGAGCACTTCGCTCTCAAACTGCAGGTTTACTTGTTCCTAGAGTTACCAAAAGCAGAATGGGAGGCAGATCTTTCAGTTATCAGGCTCCTCTCTTGTGGAACCAACTTCCATTTTCTGTCCATGAGGCTGACACATTATCCAGTTTTAAGACTGGACTTAAGACTTTCCTTTTTGATAAATCGTATAATTATGGTCGGCTTGGGTTTCCTGAGCTACTCCTTAGTTATGTTGCTATAGGCTTAGACTGCTGGAGGATAAACTGACCACATTTCTTCCCTCTGCTGCTGTCTTTACTTACTCTGCTCAACCTGTTTTGTATTTCTACTTGTTTTGTATTTGTCAGGATTGTGTTCCCTTGTGGGCAGCATGGTGGCACAGCTGGAAGAGCTGCAGCCTCTCAGCGAGCAGGTTATCTTGGTTCAAATCCCAATCCGGGGACCTTTCTGCATGGAGTTTGCATTTTCTCTCCGTGCATGCGTAGGTTTTCTCCAGGTACTCTGGTTTCCTCCCACAGACCAAAAACATGCACGTTAGACTGATTGGCAACTTTAAATTGTCCATAGGTGTGAGTGAGAGAGTGAATGGTTGTTTGTCTTGTTTGGCAGTACGACGGCTCAGTGGTTAGCACTGTTGCCTCACAGCAAGAAGGTCCTGGGCTCAATCCCTGGTTGGACCTGGGGTCTTTCTGGGTCAAGTTTGCATGTTCTCTCCATGCATGCGTGGGTTTTCTCCGGGTACTCCAGTTTCCTCCCACAGAGCAAAAACATGCATGTTAGGCTGATAGGTAACTCTAAATTGTCCCTAGCTGTGAGTGAGAGTGTGAATGGTTGTTTGTCTCGTTTGTCTCTATGTGGCCCTGTGATGGACTTGCGACATGTCCAGGGTGTACCCCGTCCCTCGCACAGTGACAGCTGGACATGGGCACCTGTGACCCCCGTGACCCAAAAAAGGAAGAAGTGGGTAAAGATGATGGATGGATGGATGGAGGGCGTTCCCTTGTGTGTCTCCCCCTTGTGGTCTGCTCCAGTTCCTGCCATTCCCACATTTTCCTGATTGTCCTTTCCCCAGATGTTTGTTATTGTCTGTTAGTTAGCGACTGTACTATAGTCTGCATCTCTGTGATCCTCATTTTCTGGGCATTGTTCTGATATGGCATTCTGTCTCTGTCTCCCTCCATGTCTCCCCTACAAAAATGTAAGTTTTGCTGCCATTCAGTATCTTGTTTTCTTTAAATAAATAATATTTATTTTACTTCCAAGTTCTCCGCCTCTGTCTGCAGAAACCTGAAAGAATTTGTAATTATTTTTATCCTTAACATGTTTTTTGTCCTTCTTCCTGTAGAAAGTACACCTGGACCTGCCATTCTGTATCCGTTTCGCCTTCCTGTATACTCCAACCCAGACAATCGAAGAAGAAAGAAGCTAGTCCTGACCATGATTCTGCTGGAGGTTTCTTCCTGTTAAAAGGGTGTTTTTCCTTTCCACTGTTGCCTTTGTGCTTGCTCGGGATGGGAGACTGTGAAGTGAAGATTTAATGCATCTGCTGGCTTCCTTCCTTAGATGGAGAACTTTTACTAATTGGCTTTTGTACAAACCGGATTCCAAAAAAGTTGGAACACTAAACAAATTGTGAATAGAAACTGAATGCAATGATGTAGAGATGGCAAATGTCAATATTTTATTTGTAATATAAAATACATGACAGATCAAAAGTTTAATCTGAGTAAATGTAACATTTTAAAGGAAAAATATGTTGATTCAAATTTTCACAGTGTCAACAAATCCCCAAAAAGTTTGGACAAATAGCAATAAGTGGCTGGAAAAAGGAAATTGAGCATATAATGAACAGCTGGAAGATCAATTAACACTAATTAGGTCAATTGACAACATGATTGGATATAAAAAGAGCTTCTCGGAGTGTCAGTGTCTCTAGAAGCCAAGATGGTAAGAGGATCACCAATTCCACCATTGTTGCACAGAAAGATAGTGCAACAATACCAGAATGGTGTTACCTAGCGTAAAATAGCAAAGACTTTTAAGTTATCATCATCAACCGTGCATAACATCATCAAAAGATTCAGAGAATCTGGAACAATCGCTGTGCGTAAGGGTCAAGGCCGTAAAACTCTACTGGATGCTCGTGATCTCCGGGCCATTAAATGTCACTGCACCTCAAACAGGAATGCCACTGTCAAGGAAATAACAGAATGGGCTCAGGAATACTTCCAGAAAGCATTGTCAGTGAACACAATCCACCGTGCCATCTGCTGTTGCCAGCTGAAACTCTACAGTGCAAAGAGGAAGCCATTTCTAAGCAAGCTCCACAAGCTCAGATGTTTGCACTGGGCCAGGGGTCATTTAAAATGGAGTGTGGCAAAATGGAAGACTGTTCTGTGGTCAGATGAGTCACGATTTGTAGTTCTTTATGGAACATTGGGACGCCATGTCATCCGGACCAGAGAGGACAAGGATAGCCCAAGTTATCAATGCTCCGTTCAGAAGCCTGCATTGCATCACTGATGGTATGGGGTTGCATGAGTGCTTGTGGCATGGCAGCTTGCATGTCTGGAAAGGCACCATTAATGCAGAGAACTATGTTCAGGTTCTAGAACAACATATGCTCCCATCTAGACGTCATCTCTTTCAGGGAAGACCCTGCATTTTTCAACACGATAATGCCAGACCACATTCTGCAACAATCACAACATCATGGCTATGTAGGAGAAGGATCCGGGTACTGAAATGGCCAGCCTGCAGTCCAGATCTTTCACCTATAAAGAACATTTGGCGCATCATAAAGAGGAAGGTGAGACAAAGAAGGCCCAAGACGAATGAACAGTTAGAGGCCTGTATTAGACATGAATGGGAGAGCATTCCTATTTCTAAACTTGAGAAATTGGTCTCCTCTGTCCCCAGACGTCTGTTGAGTGTTGTAAGAAGAAGGAGGGATGCCACACAGTGGTAAAAATGGACTTGTCCCAACTTTTTTGGGATTTGTTGACGCCATGAAATTTGAAAACAACAGATTTTTCCCTTAAAATTATACATTCTCTCAGTTTAAACTTTTGATCTGTGATTTGTGTTCTATTCTGAATAAAATATTAGATGTTGGCACCTCCACATCATTGCATTCAGTTTTTGTTCACAATTTGTTTAGTGTCCCAACTTTTTTGGAATCCGGTTTGTATGTATACAGTATGTGAATGTTTCTGTACAGTGTTCTGTACACAACTTCTGTTGTGATTTGGTGCTATGTAATTAAACTGAATTGAATTGTACAGTGCATGATAATACTTGTCTAGTATTATATAAAATTGAAAGAACACACTATATTGTTTTATCAGCATTAGGAGGAGAAAACACATTTGCACAACACATCCATATTAGTTCCACATCACTTACTTTCTGACAGAAGAAAAAGTGCAGAAAATTAAAAAAAATGGAGTTTGTGCATGATTTCAAGCAGCATATCAGCTGGTAGAGAGTGAATACCTCATTCAGATCTAGAATCATGAACACTGTCCTCTTTGATTAACTATTGGGCTGATGGAATCAAGGTTGCTTTAGAACAAATGTTGACTATTGTGGTCATGAACTGGATTTTAGAAAACGTCCGCATAAGATACTTGTTAGCATGTTTTGGCTAGAAGAGGACAGGTGTCCAACAAAGTATTATATTTAATAGAATGTGAAGGAAAATTGTTACAAATAAAAGTAGAAACAAAATAAACTTCATTGTTTAAAAAATAAACATTAAAGTACAACCAGGTGATAAAGGTAGGCAGAGAGTTTACACCAGCTTCATTATGTGTGGTTTAAAATTAGACTAATGGCTCCAAAATTTACAATTTACCTGACGCCCATCACCCTTTGGAGCACAAGTTAGGAGTCATGAGGACTCTGTATCACAGAGCAGACAGCATCCCCACTAATTCAGGAGCCAGGCAGAAGGAGAAATCCCACACAAGACAGGCTCTAGAGCAATATGGATATCCTAACTGGGCCT